TTCCTATTTCATCCCAGTTATCGTTCGTCTTTCCATTTAATGGGATGTAGTAGATAATGTAATGTATTGTGTGACGTGAATATGTTTATCACGTGATATACATGGGACTCAATATACGTACCCAATATATTACGTCCTCGCAATTATAAAATAACCTTATAGACTCCTGAAGCATAATATTATCATGAAAGGAAAATTGCGCTTGTCCAAACATAGCAATTAAGGGGGTGGCATCTTCTACCAAGATATTTATCATTCCATAATGGCCTCTACGTTTAGTTACCGGAAAATTTTGTCTCTTCTTGGATCCCTTAGTCTATATCACGGATGGTCAGATACGAGTAGTAACTCGAAACCTACGAAAAATAAATTGAAGGAATAAAGTCAGAAGTAATATTCCCGTATAAAATTAAAGTGATTCATTTATATTCCGTGAAAGAATCTCAAAGCTATTAAAATGTTTACTTACGCAGCAGTTCCGGGCGTATAATACAGATCAGAGACCGGCTGTTCGAATGTATTTTCACTTTTAAAAGAATAATTTACTAATGTCGCAAGTGCCCTGGTAGTATTCATTGCCATACAAACAGTAAACGATAGTATAGCAAAAAGCATTTAGCTAGTTTACGAATGTCGAGAAGGTTATAATCGATTAAGACTGGCCAGTACCTCTTAGAGCATTGAGCGTTATTTCATTTACTTTTTCTTTCCTGGGGTAGACAAAAAAATCACGGTCCGTGGGCACAACGCAGAAAATTTCCTGTCTCGGTCCATCCAACGAAGAGTCTGAAGCAGAACCCTTGGGAAGCGCGGCTCGGCGCAAAGACACTGGCATTTCGCATACGCAGCAACCGTGCGGCCCACTTCGGCCGGAACGGCACGACACCCGCAAGCGACTGTCGGCGAACATTCCTGCAACCCGAGCCACGGCACCGCTGCCGCCTGGCCTGGCCGCGCCGCGCAGCAACGACCTCCCTGAGCAGACGAGAGCCCGCTGGCCCAGGCGGGCACCGCGCGCGCGCGCACCTCAAGAGCCCTGGGAGGCGGCCAATGGAAGATCCCCGGCCTCCGGGTCGCACGCTCCCTCTCGCCTTCCCTCTCCATCCCGGCTTTCCAGCTCTGCCCCGCTCCTCCGGACGGCACTGGAGGACGAAGGCGTGAGGCGCCTGCCTGGCGCCGCCGGCAAAAAAGCGCGGCGAATGTTCCGGAACGTGCGCCGCGCGCGGAACAGGTCGCGTTCCACTCGCCAGACACCGGCTCCCGTCGACGCGTTTGATTTAAGAGGCGCCCACGACGCATCACCTCTCATTAATCCACGTTTACAATCGCGTTCCTATTATGACTAGAGAATGCCGCAACTCGTTTTGGCACTGATTGTAAATAAACGTGGTCGGTCGACGTAGACGCGATGTGTTCACCAAGAGGAAATACTTTTTCATTTACCAGGGAATCAAAGAAATATGCAAAGTTAGGCGAATAGAAATGAGCGTCGAAGTTTTCAACACCTAAACTAAGTCAAACAAACTCAAATAAAATTGACTATCATTCATTTACTTTTTTGGTACTTCTAGATTAGTTCTCCCATTGATTTCTATGTTGCTCATATTACTCTTTTATTCAATCAATAAGTATTTCCAGAGCGCACCCATAGGGCTTCAGCCCACCTCACCTACTCAGAACCCAATGACACGTATTAACAAATATACCTTTTAATAATTCCCTATTCCCAGGAAAGTCATTATATCAATATTTAATACATCAACTGTTAATGTTATAAATGTTAATAGTACGTCAACAAATTAAAGTACAATTTATACTCAGCATTATCGAAAAAGAAAAAAAAAATTTTAGCATTAAGAAAACATCTACTCGGCTGAACCTGTAGTCCTCCCCCCCCCCCTTCCATGACAAAACTCCTGGGTGTGCTGTGCTTCTGCATATTTCGAGTTCGCATCACGGCAACATTCGCAGCGGCTCCCAAGCAGTTGTTGCACAAAAACAAAAATATTTCAGTTTCGTTTCGTCCTAATTACTGCAGATCAAAATTTAGATTTCTGTAAAATTCTGTTTATTTAGTACAGCAGATACGTCTTTAAAAGTATTAAGAGAACGTTAGCGTGTACAGGACTATATGACACGGCCTTCTACTCATAATATCGCGAAGTTCCACTCGTTGCACAGCGTGAGAGCGTCGAGAGCTGCCGAGCGGCTTTTCATTCATTGCCCAGCCGCTTGTCGGCCAGCTCTGTGCTCACGGGCGGCCTTCGACTGCCTCCAGGTGGAGAAATGTGTTCCACTCGTACTTTGCGTAGCAGTCGTTGCTGAGCAAAACAGAGAAGAAATGAAAAAAATCGTGAGTGAAATTATTTACCTGCCTTATTTATTAGAAAATGTCATTCTGCAAAAATTCTTTTTTTAACATTGTCTTTCTGCGAAAGTAGGCAGGAACAGTTATTGAAGCTCTAATCTGGAATGAACATTTTTGCTTATTTTCCTGGATTTTAATATACAGACCTGGTGTATTGTGGTAAAATACATACGAAACTAATATTAGAATTTAAAAAAATTGCAAGAAACCATTATTAAACCATCTCTTTCTGGCTATGACTTTCTAGACACGCCGCTCTAGGCCCCACGCTGCTCGCCCCTCGTGGGGGATCGAAAGCCAACCCGTTTCGCGGCGCGCCGCCCAGCGCTGCAGGCCACGGGCCGCAGCCTTCCTTTTTCCGCGAACCAAATACTCCAACACGTAAACAGACGCCGGGCGTCGCTGGCTGATTGCAACCAGTCCGCTCCCACTCCAATCAACCAAAGTCCATCTTTGCAGACAAGAGGTCGCTTCCGGCTCCAACAAGTTAAGATATTATGACACAATTAAGACTTTCGATAACACTGTCGCTCATTCCAGGACATTCCTACAAATAATCGAGGATATCCAAGAAAGTGAATAGTGTGGCAAAAATCTCTCAATTATAATCGGTTTCATCTCACTGGACACAAGAATTTCTTTTTCTCGAGAACGACACAGTATTTATATACAATTTATAGATTCTAAGATTAATATGAAGTATTGACTACGAAAATTTGCCACAAATATCAATAAAAAAATTTGAAATATCTTAGTAGTTTCAGACGAGGTCTTGTGGTAATGCACGTTGAATATGAATGAAATGATCACATCAACCACAACTATAAAAATGTTTTATTAAATAAAACCCATAAAACATTAAAAAATAAAATTTCAAATTACAACTTATTTTAAAACAAACACTTTATTTGCACTTCTCTACTTTGGCAAAGTAGTAGTTTAGGCCAATTGAAAATTAGTTAAGATCGGTATACATTATATAACCAACGAGATATTACATCCATTACAATTCAGAATTAAAGATCCAATGAAATATGCTAAAAATTATGTGCATTTTTTTCATTTTTACTGTTTGCAATGTTTACTGTTTGCAATGATTGCATAGCTGCTTGCACTTGCTTGCACAAGCACTTGCTTGGCCCTAAGACAAGATTTCAAATTTTGTATTTCCGAAATAAAGAATCTACATCAAATATTCTAGGAAATTTAGAAATTTTAAAATTGTTGAAAACCCTCAATAATATTCCTCAATGAACAGGCACATTTAAAAATGTTAACCATTATGAATGTATACACTTTATCATCTTTCAAGAGTTAATTGTTCTACCTTCATGCTATAACTACGTTTAATGAGTGTGCTCTTAATAACTACTTCTATAAATTAATTTCATCGTTTAAATATTTATTTTATTTTTAATTGTTTACGTGTTTGTAAACTTCGCGACATGAGATAATGATATAAATATAGCTTTTGCTAATATGCAAAGCGGTTTATATGAATTTCAAAATTGGATGCGAAAGTGGAAGATAAAAGTCAACCCTGCCAAATCTCAAACTAAAATATTTACTTTGCGCAGATATTACTCCCCACTTAAAATAAATTACTGTAATTGGCCCAAAGAAATATTATTGCTCTTTGGGAACAAAAACTAACGTGGCCATCTCATATTCAGGCAACAGCTAATAAATCTTACATAAAAACCTCCTAATGATATTAGCTAAACATTTCAAATCTACTGAAAGTGGTTCACTCATATGCAAATCAATAATTTGAGCTTCTATGTGTTATGTTTGCTCGATCTCGCGCAATGCTGCTCCTGCTCATCTGAAAAAATTACAAATGTTCAAAATTTAATTAGAAGTTTAGGAAAGAGCAGGGGGGATGCAGTCTACATCTAATTTGATAGAACGGATTTTAAAGTTCAACAGTGGAAACTGGTAGGTAAATCATCTCTTAATATACGTGATAAAAATGTAATAGCTTAAGCCATGGATGAATAAAGAAGAAATTGGCCTCTCCGGGTACAAGACAGTAATTTATTGTAGATTATTCATATATCTCTTGGAAAACATAACTTTAAAAACATTTTTTTTTCGAAACAAGTATAAACATTTACATTTTTGAATTGCAAGAGAGAAGCAAAGTAACACCTGGTATTATTCCGAAAAGACGAATATAAATAAAAGGGAAGAATAAATGTGTACACATCGAAAAGTTCTAAACTAAAAACAAACAATAATCAATTGTTCACTTTCGAGTAAGAAATATTATTAATCCATATTAACGTTTGCGTATTATGTAATCATTACGTTTGCTACAATGCTAAAAACTGAGTATCATATTTACGCTGAAAATAAATATTTAAAAGTGATTTTATTATTGAAATATGTTTACACACTCTTCGTCTGTAATAGGACTCATTATCTTTTCGCCTAAAGCGGATTCTATTATTGCAACAGAATTACTTAGGCAATACAGGATTCCACCACACTACACAAGCTTACTTATTTTGATACCAGATGTTGAATGAATGCCAAAATACATTATGTAAATACTGTCAGCTCTTGATCATACACCGAGAGACAATGTCATTTGACATCCCACATCTACATTATTCAATTTGTCTACATTATGACAAGACGTGGCAGGCACCCAGTTCCCTTCGAGGAACCTGAAGTTCTCTTCGTCTATGAAGGTCAGTTCAACTTCTCCCACTCGTTGTCTTTCTTCCCCACCCCTTAACAACCGGTACGGTGAGCGGCCGACCATAGTTCAACAGAACTCGTTCGTGACGAAACCAAGATTCGCAAACTTTCTTCGGAGACACACCCCCAGGTTGTTTATCAGCGTGACTAGGCACATATCCTCATTACGAGCAATGCACAAGTATTACATCAACTTTGGCACTTTTGCCCCTTGGCCAAAATCCAGCGCCCCGCGGAACGCCTTACGTCGCACGCCCCGGGCGAAGGGGCAGGTAGGCGCGCACGGTGGCTGCGGCCGGCGGGCGCCCCCCACCCGCGCCCGCCCGCGCAAGCCCCGCCTCCCGGGGGCTCGCCCGCCGCCAACCAATCGCAAAAGGACATTCGCCGCGTGGTGGTAGACGCAAGCACATAACCTGGGCTTGCACTGCAAAAATAAAAGAGTACCAGACCTGCACCACATAGAGTGACGCCAAGCTATATAAGAACCAGCAAGCGACGCGACAGGAGTGCTGACCGCGTGGACCAGCCCATTGACACTGTGTACGCGCGCGGGTCGTGTTTCCGCCGATTCCCTCGCGAGCACCCACTGAGCACCGAAGAGAGGTGGACAGGAGTCGCGTTGCACACATCCCACCGCTAACGGGTCGCAGAGGACCTCGCAAGAGCCACCACCGACACTGAGAAGCCATCAGTAGGCAGTCGTGTTGAAGTCGTGCAAGAGCACAGCAACGCCATGCAGTCCGGCAGACGAGTACAGCCGAGGATTTTACAGCCCTTCAGCTCGCGATGTCTGGTGAGTAGTGGCCCCAGCACGGGCCACCTGCCTCGCACACAATATGGAAGCGATTACAACATAAGTGAACGTGCGACACACAAACTCACAGTGAACACACACACACAAAGCGTCGCGTTACTCTTGGTCAAAAACTTGCGGCTGCTGCCCCAGATGTACCCAACATCACATGCGCGTTTGCAATCCCAATACGGTAAGAGTGCCACACGTGTTCGAATTGCTATCACGGAAAGAAACAGATTCAACTATTTTGAATAAATTCCCTTCGCTTGCAGCTTTATCACAAACCACACGTCACGAAGAGCAGCTACAAGAAGCTCAATGCTGCCGAAAAAAAAACAAAAAACAATCTGGCCATTCATTGCAGAGTGGTTCCTATCACTCCGAACACCTGGTGGAAATCCTTATCAGTGGCCCCGGCAACTGGCGGGGGGGGGGGGGGG